TGCAGAGTTTTGGCAATTAGTGGTGCTAGGTGGGAGCGCTGTATAAATCCTGCCAGCACACAGTGTTTATCTCTGCCTACTGAAGCCACACTGACTTGGTGATGTTGGTATGTGTGCATGCCATATGTCCGCTACAGGAGGTGTTACGTGACCAGTCTCACTGTTTATGCAAAGGAGGCTTCTGTGATTGGTCGTGCTCATAGGAAATAGGTGCCCTCTCAGAAACGACAGCCTATTCCATCTTGTGGTCTGCAGGAGCATCTAAGGGTGAAAAAAGAACTGTTCTAGAACAAGGATGCACTATCACAACCGTTTTCTCGAGTTCAGCTTTAAGGGCTAGTTCACACTAGATGCAATCCAGTGCTTTTTTTTTTTCTGCATCAAAAATGCATGCACAGTGTTTTGTATGTATTCCATTGGCCCTAGTTCACACCAGTGCAGTCAGTTCCAGTTCATTTCCGGTGTAGAAAAAAAAAGTAGAACATGTTGCATTTTGTCTGTACAGAATCATACTGGAACATAGCAAACTGCACCAGACCTGCGTGTGGTGTGAACTGTAAGTAAATAAAAACGTATCTGGAATGCATCCAGAGTGTGTTGTGTGGTGTGAATTGGCACTAAGGGCCAGTTCACACTGCATGTGTTTGTGTGCTTTTTTTCTGCATCCAAAAGACACAAAGTAGGTTATATTGTTGTCAGTGTCATAGTTCACATCATTGCTCGTAGTTCCAGTGCGTTCCGGGTGCAGAAAAAAAAAAAGTAGAAAAGGCTGCATTTTTCCTGCACAAAAACTGTACTGGAACATGGTAAAATGCACCGGAAGCACCACAAAATGCACTGGAATGCACATGTCTCTATTTAACTCCTTGGCGTCAGCGCCTCCTGGCCCTTTAAGGGTTTCAGAAGCTGGGAGGAGGGCGTCGTGACCACCGTGATTCGCTGTCACATGATCGGGAAAGGTCCTGATCACAAAAGGAGATTGGGACCTTTCCGTGAGTACCAGACGTGTGCTGGGAGCGTGTAGGGCACGCGCTCTCAGCACATATGTTTTTTAATTGCACGCAAATGTGTGGCCACTCGCCGTCCAGGCCCAGACGTTAATTTGAAGAAAAAGAGGGGGAAAAAATTAACTGGAACGCATCAAAAATGAACCGGAATGTGCCAAAATTGTGTCAAAACCGCGCATGCAGAAACGCATCTGGACTCCTTTTCTATAGTGTGAACTGACCCTAAAAGCAGTCAATCAAATTGCAGTTTATTGTAGTGATAGAAGTGAGTATTGATTTCTAGTAGTTACTTATCTCGCCTTTTGGTGCTTGTTTAAAATACATTTTCCTTGACCTTTTCTTTTCACTGCTCTTTCTGTCTGCTATGACTTTATTTTGCCCCTTCCCCCTCCCTCGCATTGGAATTATTATTATACAGTATTTATATAGCGCTAAAAGGTTTGCTCAGCGCTGTACATTGTAGTGGGGGACAGTACATGAGACAATACAGTAACAAAACAAAACGCGAGGATTCAAGGGCCCTGCTCTTTCGAGCTTACAATCTAGGAGGGAGGGTATAGTGGTACAGGAGGAAGTGGCTGTGGGGAATGGAGTGATAGGAGGAGTGGAGGAGATCGGCTGTTAGGTGAGGGTAGGCTGTTAGGTGAGGGGAGGTGGAGCCTGCATGAGTTTGCCAACGATCAGACATGGGGTTGGAAGGACAGGTTTGAGTCTAGAGTGACACCTAGCACTTTGGCTTGTGGGGTGGGACTGATGCTGGCGTTGTTGGTCGTGATGGAGGGGTGGGGGGCACGGGCTGGGCGGAAAATCAGGAGCTCGGTTTTGGAAAGGTTCAATTTGAGGAAATGGAGCGACATCCAGTCTGTCGTTCAGTAGGTGGGTGATACGGGCGGAGACTGAAGGGGTGAGGCGAGGGGTGGAGAGGTAAATTTGCGTGTCATCGGCGTAGAGGTGATAGTTGAAGCCGTGGGAGTGTATCAGTTTTCCGAGGGAGGAGGTGTAGATGAAAAAGAGAAGGGGCCAGAGGACAGAGCCTTGGGGGACCCCAACAGAGAGGGGGAGGTGGTAGCGTTATAGGTAACACTGAAGAAACGTTGGGATAGATAGGAGGAGAGCCAGGAGAGAGCAGTCTCTCTGATGCCGAGGGAGTGTAGTTTGAGGAGGGGGTGGTTGACTGTCGAAGGCAGCGGAAAGGTCGAGGCGTAAGAGAACTGAGTAGTGGCCATTAGCTTTGGCGGTTATGTCATTAGTGATTTTGAGTAGGGCGGTTTCGGTGGAGTGTAGGGGAGAGAAGCCAGACTGTAGTGGATCGAGGAGGTTGTTGTCAGTGAGGTGGTGAGATTGTAGACTAAGCGCTCAAGGAGCTTGGAAGTAAATGGCAGCAGGGAGATGGGTCTAAGGTTGTTCAAGTCGGTGGGGTCCAGGGAGGGTTTTTTGAGTATGGGGGTGATGTGCGCGTGCTTTTAAGGGGGAGGGGAATGCGCCAGTAGAGAGGGAGAGATTGAAGATGTGGGTGAGGGAGCGTAGGATGGAGGAGGGTGACCGGAGGAGTTGTGTGGGGACAGGGTCAAGGGGGCAAGTGGTAAAGCGGGCTTCTGAGAAGACCTTAGTGACCTCATCAGTGGTAGCAAGGCTGAAGGAGTGGAGTGTTGGGGAGGTTACAGTGTGCGGGACATTAGGTGTTGTGGGGGGTAGGGCGGTTGCGAGGTCAGAGGAGGGGAGAGTTGGTGGGGTTATGGTGGGAGGGAGGCTAGGTGGGGAGGTAGGTTGAGCATTGGCGATGTCCTTACGGATTACGTCGATCTTATTTTGGAAGTGATTGGCAATCTCATGGGCAGTGAATGAGGTACTGGGTGGGGGGGGGGGGGAGAGAGTAGGCAGTTGAAAGTGGAGAAGAGCCGGCAAGGACAGCTGGAGAGGGTGTTGATGAGGGTTACGAAGTAGGCTTGTTTGGCGGCATGGAGGGAGGAAGTGTAGGTGAGGAAGGAAGATTTGTAGAGGGAGAATGCTCGAGGCAATCTGGTTTTGCGCCATAATCGCTCCAGCGCACAACTGCGTCATTTAAGATTTTTAGTGTGGTCGTTCTGCCAGGGTTGAAGCGGTCGGGGTCTAATGCTACGTGTGGTTAGGGGTGCTAAGGAGTCTAAGGCAGCTGACAGTGAGTCGTTGTACGCAGTAGTGGCCAGGTCAGGGCATGACAGTGTAAGGATACTGTCGTACAAACGGTCAGCTGCAGAGTGGAGAGGGGCTGGGTTCAGGTTGCGGAGGTTACAGCTGGTGATGGTTTGATGTTTGGGGGAGGAGGCGTTATAGGACAGGGACACGGAGAACGTAATGAGGTTGTGGTCAGAGAGAGGGAAGGGGGTGTTAGTGAAGTTGTGGAGGGTGCAGAGATGAGAGAAAACGAGGTCCAGGGTGTTCCCACTGGTGTGGGTGGAGGACTGTGTGAGTGCAAAAGAAGAGGTTAAGTGGAGGAGTTTGGATGTAGCCGGATTGTTGACATTGATAGGGATATTAAAGTCTCCAAGGATGATGGTGGGTAGCTCAGAGGAGAAGAAGGGCAGCCAGGCGGAAAAGTAGTCAAGGAAGTGGGATACGGATCCAGGAGGCCTATAGATTACTGCAATCCTCAGAGGGGTGGGAGAGAAGAGTCGGATGCAGTGGGCCTCGAAGGAGGTGAAGGATAGAGAGGGGGGGGTTTGGGAGGTCCTGGAAGGTGGTCAGCGGTGACGAGCACTCCGACCCCACCACCTCTACGGCCGCTCGGTCTGGGTGAATGGGACCAGATGAGACCTCCATAGGAGAGTGCAGCAGGGGAAGTGGAGTCAGTGGCTTGGATCCAGGTTTTGGTGACCACTAGGAGGTTCAGGGAGTGGGCGATAAAGATGTCATGGATGGCGGTGAGCTTGTTGCAAACCGATCGGGCATTCAGCAGTGCAACCGAGAGTGGAGGGATGGATGTGGGGAGGAGGGGGACAGGTATAAGGTTGAGGGGGTTGCGGCGGTTCGTGGGGGTAGGAGGGGTGCCCAGTGGGTGAGTGAGGTGGTGAAGGACCAGGGTTTGGGGAAATATCCTCAGAGGTTAGGAGAAGAAGAAGTGTGAGGAAAGTAACATGGGAGCGGGATGTACACAAGCTCACATGCCTTCCAGGCCTGGTGTTTGGGTCAGCAGGAGGTGATGAGAGCAGTAGTAGGGAGATGGTAGCAGTGAGGGTGAGATGTACAAGTTTTGGGGTGGAGCAGAGGGGTAAAGAAGTGAGATTTTGGGAACACAAGATAGTGATATGAAAAGGAGGAGTAGAGGGGACATATTAAAAAGGTACTTGGAGTGGTACTCAGATTTGTAAGAGATGTTTCCCAGGGTGTTTGCTTGCAGTCTGTCCAGCATGCAGTAGAGTTTCTTGCTGTTGTTGTGTCTTCCTGCTGCTTGAGTTCTCCTGCTTTAGTTCAACTGCTGTGTTTAACTGCTTCTTCTTAGCACTCCAACGCAGCACTCACGCAATGCAGAACCCCCATCAGAGACTGTGCCCCCCCCCCCCATCAGTGATCTCCCCCCATGAGCTGATCTAAACTTAGAGGGAGATGCTCAAATGAACATTCAACTCCATCCCAATTAGAAGCTGATAAGGATCACATGAATAGTGGGGGATGTTTCTCAGGAAACAGACTACAGTCATAAAACGGGTGCAGCTAGAGGTGAGAACTGGTCAACATATACACAAATATAAATACACTATTTGTTCTGAATTTAACAGGAATCAATGCGTTTCTTAGTTAAGAGTGGAGAGAGGTGCATTTACCCAGAGAAAAGCAGCAGGAATCAATCCCAGGCATCCCTGGGAACCGCTGTCACCACATGCATGGCCAAATCAGGGTTGGACTTCGCTTCCATGTATACTACTGATCATTTTACCTCTTTTGTACTCCTTTTTAATGCTTTATAACAATTAAGTTATTTTTTTCTAATTCTTTTTTTGTTTTTTTTTTTTTTAGGTGTTGGCAAGAGTAGTTTACTGCTAAGGTTTGCGGATAACACTTTTTCAGGTAATTTTGTGTATTTTATGATCACACTGTTGCAGCACTAGTTTGGGCATACTGTTCCTATAGCACGATCAGTGTGTGTTATGGCTTTTATGCCATATTCCTAGATTGTAAGCTCCAAGGAGCAGGGCCCTCGAACCCCTTGTGTATTTTTGTATTGCTACTGCACTGTCTTACGTATTGTCTCCCATTGTAATGTACAGCGCTGAGCAAACTGTTGGCGCTATATAAATACTGTGTAATAATAATAATATGCATTGGGGTTATGAGCCTGCCTTCTCTGCACTATACTAACACATACTGGATTCTCCCAAGTGCTCTAAATTTACTTATTTGATTTGTTTTGCTAAATGATTAGCAAGCTGGGTTTGACCACACATCTGTTGGTGTAGAAAGACAATTAAAATCTGAGTTAAAGTATAACTAAAGGCAAAACATTTTTTTTAGTTTTGGATAGAATGGAGAGGGATCAGAACCCTTGTCAGTCTTTATTGCTGTCTGTGCAGCCATTGGGGAGATTCACCCTCTCTATTTGTCCTGTTTACCATTATCATTGAAAGTAAAAGAAAATCCCAAATTTTGTGTTGTCCCCAAAAAAGTAATAGAGTGGAAATCTTCCTATGGGGACACTAGTTCTGGGGATACAAGAGTTTCCCTTTGCAGGGATTTCCTCCCACTTCCTGTTTGTTTATGGGACACAGATGGTGAAAAAAAGTCTGACGGGTTAGAACCCTCCCTTACTCTATCCAAAAGGGGAATAAATTGCTTTTAGTTCTTCTTTAAAGGTTAAGTTCACCTTTTACAGAAAATATAGTACTAGTAAAGGTAAGAGGAGTAGTAATAGTAAGTCATTGATGAAATTATATGTTTTTGTATTGATGTCTGTCTTTTACATTTTTGTTTCACTAAATAAAAATTAATTTTAAAGATGGTTTGATTCATGCATTTCCTTGCACCTTAAAAATCCCAGTTTTTTAAATTGTTTTGTTTTCCAGAAAATAGCCTATGCAGTCAAAGGGCCCCAGTAGGTATTATAATTATGTGCAGCTCTATGTTCATTAATTTTATTGTCCTATCTGTAAGAACTTTGGGTACCTGTGGAAGCCTGACAGGAAAACTCCCAATTAGTATACACCACATCCTGAGCTTTTCGGATGTAAAACACTTTGATTTTTCACTCCTGTAATGCTAAGATTTCGTGTCCTAGCAGCCAGGCAGAACGTGGGAGTTGCTCATAGAAGGTTCAAATGGAAATTAATGTTTTACAAGGCTGCACCTTTTAAAATCTAATGGAGCCCCTTGACTGCATAGGATATTTTTCTTGAAAAGCAGCACTTTTTTTTTTTAATCCAGACTTGATACTATACAAAGTCCTGACCACTTACTTCTCTCCATTGCCATTGAGTAGGGAAGGAACCTCGGGTCATTCACAGCTGTGCTCTCTGCTATTAGCAAACTTAATACAGCCCACTGTTCGTGCTAATCCCTTCCTCCCTGAGTTCTGATGTGCAGAGGATTACCGTAGACCAGTGGTCTCCAAACTGCGGCCCGAGGGACAGATGTGGCCCTTTGCCAGCCTTTATCCGGCCCTTGGGGCTCTATTCTTCCCACTTTGTTCTTAACACTGACACCAACAGTGGAGTATAATTCCTCCAACCAACAGCAACGATATGGCACTCTTACTCCCACTAATATCAATGATAGGGCACCATTCCATTCACTGAAACCAATGACAGGGCACTATTCCTCCCAATGATAGCAATGATGGTGTTCTATTCTTCCCACTAATATCAATGATGTGGCACTATTCCATCCAGTGGAAACCAATGACAGGGCACTATTCCTCCCAATGATAGCAATGATGGGGTGCTATTCTTCCCACTAATATCAATGATGTGGCACTATTCCATCCAGTGGAAACCAATGACAGGGCACTATTCCTCCCAATGATAGCAATGATGGGGTGCTATTCTTCCCACTAATATCAATGATGTGGCACTATTCCATCCAGTGGAAACCAATGACAGGGCACTATTCCTCCCAATGATAGCAATGATGGGGTGCTATTCTTCCCACTAATATCAATGATGGGGCACTAGTCCATCCAGTGGAAACCAATAACGGCACTATTCCTCCCAATGATAGCAATGATGGGGTGCTATTCTTCCCACTAATATCAATGATGTGGCACTATTCCATCCACTGAAACTAATAACTGGGCACTATTCCTCCCACTGATAGCAGTGATGGGTCACTATTCATCCCAGTAATACTAATGACAGGGCACTATTCCTTCTACTGACCACAGGCACTATGCAACAGAACACCACACCTGAGGCATTGCTTACACTCCATCGATGCCCAGCCTTGGCCAAGTGTTTCTTGTTCTTCTTGGACAGATGTTTATTGCTTCCTGTGTGGTTCTCTAGAATTGTGAGGAAATTTGTGTCCAGAGCTGCTGATCCGCCCTGTGCACATGTAGCCACTTTGAATGTGTGTACAACCACGGTGTCTGTCATAGATGCCTGTTATTGATTTGTACAGGCTACTACCAGGTGCAGAAATACTCTGTAGTCTGTCGATGTGCGGCCTTCTGTACCCATGTACATAAAACCTTAATTGTATTTATACAGACTGTGAAGTGAGGCTTTCCTGTAAAATATTTTAAACAGTTTAAATGAAGTTCTAATATTTTCTATAACTGAGTGCTTTGTAATGCATTCCTTCTGTCAGTAAATTGCTCCCTAAAAAGTCCAAAAAAGCAGAATCCACAGCTGATTTTGAATGTACAAGCAAACCTAGTGGCAGTAGAAACTGAAATCAATTTGTAATAGTAAAGCACTGAAGAATGTTGCTTCTTTTTCTTTATAGGCAGCTACATCACAACAATTGGAGTAGACTTTAAAATCAGAACAGTGGAAATCAATGGGGAGAAAGTGAAACTGCAGATTTGGGATACTGCCGGGCAGGAGAGATTTCGCACAATAACATCAACGTAAGAATGTACAGGAAGTAATGTGTCCGGGTATTGTTTGGTGTTGGTCAGATGCTGTATCTCCGTTTGAAACACTGTTGCTGTTCTGTATGGGAAATGACACACTTCAAGAAGAAGCTAGTTTCAGCTCAGTTTACACATTTTGTGTTGGTCTCTTCACTGAAAAATTCACGTAGTAAATTTAGTTTATTTTTATCTTTTTAATAAACCACATTGGTGTTTCACTTGGCATGGTTGGCATTTAAATTGCATCAGAATTGTATAGTTATCAGAGCTTCAAATTTATTGAGAATATTTTAATACAAGTGTCTTAAAGTGTATAATATGTTTATTATCCGCATGATGCCCAATAACTGGTGTGCCATTTGAAATTTGAATGTTTAATTAACTGCTGGCTCTGGGCAACAAGACAGATGATATTAACCACTTCCAGACCGGACACTTTTACCCCCTTCCTGACCAGGGCAATTTTCAGCTTTCACTGCTATCACACTTTGAATGACAATTGCGCGGTCATGCAACACTGTACCCAAATGAATTTTTTACCATTTTTTTGAGACAGATAAAGCTTTATTTTGGTGGTATTTATTCACCGCTAGGATTTTTACTTTTTTTGCTATGTAAATAAAATAGTCCAAAAATTTTGAGAAAAAGTTTTATACAATTTTGCAAATAAATAATATTTCATCATAAATCTTAGCCAACAGTTATTCCGTTATCTTTTTAGTAAAAAATAAAAAATCCAAATTAGTTTATAACCAAAAATTATAATTTTTAAACATTTTTTTTACATTTTTATATTTTTTTTATATTTTTTTTTTACATACTGTCACCCTAGCAGTACAGTGTCACCATGGTGACACTGTACTACTTGTGGGGGGTGATGAAGATTTTTTATTTTTTTTACACTGATTGCTTTTACACCCATATAGGATGTAAAAGCAATCATTTCTCTTTCTCTGTCTGCATTCTTGCAGTTATTGAGAAGTACTGAGTGAGCTGTGATTGGTCACAGCTTGTCACATGGTACAAGGCTGCTGTGCATAGCCTTGTACCATGTGACCTCTGTGATCATTCACAGATTTCACACGTAGTAAGCAATGATGTCCCAAGTGACATTTTGCTTACTACTTTGCATGTGATCACTGATTGGCCAATCAGTGATCACATGATCGGGACCACGTACAGAGGTCCCGTCTGACTATCGGTGTTTCACTGTGTCCGGAGGACACAGCGGGCACCGGATCGCGGTGCTGCGCGCTCCCAGAGAGCGCACACAAGCAGGGTGTGGGGAGGCCGTTTATAAACGGCCACCCGACCCTGTACTGCCATCGTCCAGCCGTTTATATACAACGGCCAGTCGAGAAGTGGTTAAAAACACATATATAGTTCTCTCCTTTCTGCTGTGTTGGCTACTTGTTTTCAACATGTGCATATCTTGCGCATTGTTTTTGGATCTGTGATATAAATGCCTTTTGCTTTTCCTTTTATTTGAATTCTGTGACATCATCCTAAAATGCTTCCTAGTTCTCTTCAGTAAAGCTAGGTTCACACTTGTGCGGGATATTGCCGCTGCAGGACCCACACAGAGAAATATAAGGAATGCAGGTGGGTGCCATTAAATCTAATGGCACACCACCCTTACTGGGAATCACATCCGCACGGGGAACTGCACTGTGCTTGCAGTTCCCATGCAGGCTGTGATTCCAAAAATGGTGCAGGGACCTTTTCCCTGTTTTACAGGAGGCAAGGCAGCCCATTCAAATGAATAGGCTGTCATGCCTGTGCAAACTGTGGCACGCAAAGCTGCACTTATGTGAACCTAGGGCGGGAGTAGGCAACCTGTGGCTCTCTAGTTGTTCTGGAACTACATTTCCCATGAGACATTGCAACATTACAAAACTGACAGTTACACCTATGACTTGCAGAGGCATGATGGAACTTGTAGTCCTGCAACAGCTGGAGAGCCGCATGTTGCCTACCCCTGACCTAGGGTCAATGGCCTGATAGAATTAACCATGTAGTCATTTTACTTTTAAGGCTCATGTCACTCTGCTTCACACTACTTGGGATGGCCATACACACAAATTTAAATATACAATCTCCCTTATATCTTCCAACAATTATGCAGTGCTGGACCTTTATAACTGGGTATATATTTAACAGATTCTTTAATTGTATAATTTGGTAAATCAAAAGTAGACTGCACAATCAGAATATCACATGTATGACCAGCTTTATGCAGATCATATACTTTAACACTATCAGACGCCTCCAATGGCTATTTCAATGCCTTTTTTTTTTTTTTTTTTTGGGTAATGGCTTTTTTCACAAAACTTGAGTTTCCATCAGCAATTCCTCAGCTGTTTTATAATCTTCTATTGCTAACATCTAGTCATCCAGTTAGTACACCATTTTTTTTTTCTGCATAAACAAATCCCCAGCAAGTGCTAAAATTCCTGTATGCGCATAGTAACATCTAGGTATCTTTCTCATATATGCAGGGCTTTTTTTCCCCTCAGAGAATAGGTGCAGATATCCCCCCCCCCCCCCCCCCCCCCCCCTCCCCCATCCTGAGTTACCCCTTGTCCCTGCCCCCATACCTACCTTTGAGAACAGACCCTTGTCTTTGCCACCTATCCAGCTCCTAGTACTGGTTCTTTTAGAGAATACAGAGCCAAGTATTGCTTTGTGGCGTTAAGTAATGTGCATGGAATTGGATAATGATGATAGACCCCCTTAGCAACAATAGATCCTTTCCAACAACAATAGAACAAAATACACCCCATTGATTTGTTTCAGCAACAATACACCCCTGCTGGCAACAATAGATCTTCCAGCAGTCAGCATCAATAGACCAAAACATGAGATGCCCCTCAACAACATCCCCCAACAGCAAGACCCCAGTGCAAAATAGATCCCCCACCAGCAACAATGGACCCCCCCCCAGCAACACTACTCCCCATGCTAGAATAGATCCCCAGCAATCCTCATAAATCCCTCTAGCATACCCCCAGCCCCTTTGCCAATGCATACATTTTGTGCTGGAGGTGCCAGACCTACATTTCCCTAAGCTCCTATTGAAAAAAAGCCCTGCGTATATGTAAGATGAGGTATACGATTGGTACAACTCATTTCTATCATGTCATATTTATATTTTTTCTTGCAGATATTACAGAGGCACACACGGTGTTATTGTTGTTTATGACGTTACCAGTGCAGAATCCTTTGTCAATGTAAAAAGATGGTTACATGAAATAAATCAAAATTGTGACGATGTGTGTCGAATATTAGGTAAGCGTTCTCTGTGACGTTCTCACAAAATACAAGTCAGTTCCAATTGTTTCTTAACATAAGTTGTTTTTCTATGTACAGTGGGGAATAAGAATGATGATCCTGAGCGGAAAGTCGTGGAGACTGAAGACGCCCATAAATTTGCTGCACAGATGGACATACAACTGTTTGAGACTAGCGCCAAAGAAAATCTAAATGTTGAGGAGGTGTGTATTGGCTCTGCTTATACCATACTTGAGTTTTCTAGATTTGCTCTGTTCTTGAGTGGCTGGCCAGTCAAGCACACAACAAAGCATAGGCAAATGTAGGCAATCTTTTTGTCATATATTTTCTTTATTATAGTTAACCACTTCAGCTCCAGGAAGATTTTACCCCCTTCGTGACCGGGCCGTTTTTTTTTTTTTTTTTTGTGCTATTTCACACTGTGCTACTTTAATTGTCAATTGCATGCTCATGCAACCCTGTATACAAATGAAATTTATAATTTTTTTTCACACGAATAGAGCTTTATTTTGGTAGTATTTGATCACCACTGTTTTTTTTTACCGTATTTGCCGGCGTATAAGACGACTGGGCGTATAAGGCGACCCCCCTACTTTTCCTGCTAAAATGTAGTGTTTGGGCTATACTCGCCGTATAAGACTACCCCTCTTCCAATGCACACCAGTGGGAGGAATAGTGCCCCATCATTGATGTCAGTGGGAGGAATAGTGCCCCATCATTGATGTCAGTGGGAGGAATAGTGCCCCATCATTGATGTCAGTGGGAGGAATAGTGCCCCATCATTGATGTCAGTGGGAGGAATAGTGCCCCATCATTGATGTCAGTGGGAGGAATAGTGCCCCATCATTGATGTCAGTGGGAGGAATAGTGCCCCATCATTGGTGTCAGTGGGAGGAATAGTGCCCCATCATTGGTGTCAGTGGAAGGAATAGTGCCCCATCATTGGTATCAGTGGGAGGAATAGTGCCCCATCATTGGTATCAGTGGGAGGAATAGTGCCCCATCATTGATGTCAGTGAGAGGAATAGTGCCCCATCATTGGTATTAGTGGCAGGAATAGTGCCCCATCATTGGCATTAGTGGCAGGAATAGTGCCCTATCATTAGTATCAGTGGAGGAATAGTGCTCCATCATTGGTGTCAGTGGGAGGAATAGTGCCCCATCATTGGTATCAGTGGCAGGAATAGTGCCCCATCATTGATGTCAGTGGGAGGAATAGTGCCCCATCATTGATGTCAGTGGGAGGAATAGTGCCCCATCATTGATGTCAGTGGGAGGAATAGTGCCCCATCATTGATGTCAGTGGGAGGAATAGTGCCCCATCATTGATGTCAGTGGGAGGAATAGTGCCCCATCATTGATGTCAGTGGGAGGAATAGTGCCCCATCATTGGTGTCAGTGGGAGGAATAGTGCCCCATCATTGGTGTCAGTGGAAGGAATAGTGCCCCATCATTGGTATCAGTGGGAGGAATAGTGCCCCATCATTGGTATCAGTGGGAGGAATAGTGCCCCATCATTGATGTCAGTGAGAGGAATAGTGCCCCATCATTGGTATTAGTGGCAGGAATAGTGCCCCATCATTGGCATTAGTGGCAGGAATAGTGCCCTATCATTAGTATCAGTGGAGGAATAGTGCTCCATCATTGGTGTCAGTGGGAGGAATAGTGCCCCATCATTGGTATCAGTGGCAGGAATAGTGCCCCATCATTGATGTCAGTGGGAGGAATAGTGTCCCATCATTGGTGTCAGTGAGGGGTGGAATAGTGCCCCATCATTGGTGTCAGTGGGGGGTGGAATAGTGCCCCATCGTTGGTGTCAGTGGGGGGGGGGAATAGTGCCCCATCGTTGGTGTCAGTGGGGGGGAGGAATAGTGCCCCATCGTTGGTGTCAGTGGGAGGAATAGTGCCCCATCGTTGGTATCAGTGGGAGGAATAGTGCCCCAGTGTATCAGTGACACCAATGATGGGGCACTATTCCTACCACTGAGACTTGCTGACCCTGTTCTCGTATGGTGCTGCTGCAGCCAGCATATGTGGTTGCAGCAGCACCTCTACACAGAACACTTACCTGCTACTCCGGCACTCAATTTTCGCGGGGCCGCTCGGCTCCGCCCCCTCGCCGGTGATTGGCCGCCTGTGTGCCTTTCCTGAGCTACAGTTCTGGCGGCCAATCACCGGTGAGGAGGCGGAGCCGAGCAGCCGCACGAACATCCAGTGGCCGAACTGAAGGAGACGCCGCGCTTCCTGGACCGGATCGTCGTGGGACTGGATCCAGGTAAGAGACATCAGCCCCTGCAAACCCCTGTACTTAATGCCGCAGCCCTCCTAACATATGTACCGGCGTATAAGACGACCCCCGACTTTTGAGAAGATTTTCAAGGGTCAAAAAGTCGTCTTATACGCCGGCAAATACGGTAATTATATAAATAAAAGACTGAAAATTGTGAAAATCTAGCCCATAAAAAAAAAAATCTAATTTCTTCATTAACTATAGACCAGAATGTATTCTGCTACATGTCTTTGGTCAACAAATCTCAATAAATGTATATTATTTAGTTTGTAACTAAGTTAGTCCCAATATGTTATAGCATCCACAAACTATGGGATATATAATTTAAAACTGATCAATCCTGACGGCCAATTTCATTTCTTAAAACTCTTAAAATGTCAGGGCAGTACAAATATCCCCCAAATGACCCCATTTTGGAAAGTAGGCCGGTGTTTAGTAAGAAGTAGTTTTTAAAAAAAAAAAAATTTTTTTTCACATACTGTTACTGGCACAATACAGCGTCATGATATTACTGGTGTGACGGTGATCAGGGACACTGGTGACAGTATGTAAAAAAAAAAAGGAATAAACAATTTTTTATTCAATATTTAAAATGTTCTTTTATGCTAAACATTTTTTTTTTATTTTTTACAAGATACTTTCATCAGAGTAGTTCAGTGTTGCCATAGTAACATTGTACTACTCTGGGGGGTGATCAGGGATATTTTGATATTTTTGTATTTTATTTTTTTTACTCTTTGCTGGTATAATGAAGTTCATTGTACCAGCAATGCTTTGAATTGTCATGAATGGGTTACATTCATGACAGCTGTGAATACTATTGATCTCTGATTGGCTACAGCTAATCACATGGTACAGGGTGCTGTGATTGTCCCAGGTACCATGTGATAGCTGCGAGCCAATCGCAGCTCTCTAGTAAAGCTGTTATAAATCATATTGATTAATAACAGCTTTGTTGACCTTGTGATCATGTAATCACATGATCTCAGGTCCAGAGTATCGGGATCCACATTCTACTGTGTCCAATGGACACCGCAGTCGCAGGCAGAATCGCCTACGGGTACGTCGCTTTGCCTCTGCATGCTACTCCCTGCAGTAAAAGGACTTGGGTTGTCGGAATGTGGTTCTAAAGGCAAAGTGTTTCTTACCTTACTGCAATAGTGTCCAACCTTTTGACTTTCCTGGGCCACATAAGAAGAGGAATTGTCTTTGGCCACACATAAAATACACTAAAAATAAGAATAGCTGACAGAAAAAGTCGGGTAGATTACAAGTTAATGATCACTGATAAAGACAATGTACCTAATGAGTAATAAAACTTCATTTTTGTATTTTATTTTTATTTTAAAAAAGTAAAAGGAGGACATCATAAAACTAGTGCGATATTTAACACTGGTTTTGATAAATTAACCTTTAATTATCTGATTTGATGAAGAAGTAGTAGCAATTCTCATTGAATTCTCAAAGGTGCTCTTCAGATATTTTGATTCTAATTTTGTCCTTTGTGTGCTTCATCCTGACTGTTGATGACATGAATAAGGTGTGATTGTGAAGTTGGATATTTTTCTTTGGGAAGATAAAACTTATCCAGTAACTGTCAAATTTTTCTTTGGCTGGATGTGTTTGGTAAATGTACACATTTAAAAAAAAAATTAAAGTAAGTTTACAATTTTTGTGCTGGTCCACATTCATTGCTGTCATGGGCCACAGGTTGGACGCCCCTACCTTAATGCATGCTCTGCATTAAGGTAAAAAACTTTCAAATTCCTGTGCTGCGCTCACCCTTCTTCCCGTAGGCTCCTGCTGTTGTCAGTCAAATCCTGTGGGGGACATGGCTGCACACAGCCTAGCTCGGGAGTGCCCCCTCAGCAGCCACCTTGCTATGAGGGCACTCGGAGAAAAGGTGATGCTGAGAGAGGGCTGGCAGGGAACTCCAGAAGAGGAGGTAAGGGGCCACTCTATGCAATACCATTCTGCAGAGCAGGTAAGTACAACTTGTTTATAGTATTATAAAAAAAAAAAAGCTTTACAACCACTTAAGACAAAAAATACAATGTGAAAAAAATGTTTAGGTTAAATATGAAAGTGATGTATTTTAATTTTAAGTCAGTAGGCTCCCTTAAAAAATGTTTACCAGGCAATCCTTTACTGCTTTGCTGAAAAAATGCCTGTTTACAAAAGCATAGTTTTCAGTGGAGCAGAACAGAGCTGAGACCCATTTCTGCTCCCTGCTTGGTCATACGGCTCAGTAGAGCTTGTCAGGAGAGCAGCTTCTGATTTGTATATAAATGCTGAAAGATTCTGTTTAGGTAGTAGAAAACATCCATTCAAAAAACAAATTTAAACAAAAGTAAAATACAAAAAGCCCAAAGCATCATAGTATCCCATGAATGGCTATAGAAAACCGTTGCTGAGTTTAATTATTACCTACAAGTTAATTAACCATTTGAGCTTGAGCGAAATACCCATACGTTGCTGGACTCTCGGTAGTTATACCGGATGATGCCGTTTTTTTTAGAGCCGGCGATTGATTCTCTTGTCATAGCAATCGAATCAGCTAACTAGCCACTCGATCACTATTACAAGCAGCGGGAGGGGATGTACCCCCCCCCCCCTTTCTGCTGCTTGTTCGGGATAATCCGTCTGACGAGGAGACCTGAGTAACCAGCCAGTAGGTTGCAGAGCCAAGCAAAGCTGGAATCGCCTTTGATCGCCAGGTAGGGGAGCCGAACGAAGTCGGGATTGGCTCTTTACTATGGTAACCCAGAAGCGGTCACTTGTCATCACTTCTGGTTTACCCAGATGTCAATGGTGCCATTTTTAAAAACTCAAAAGCATTTGAAAACACCAATGTGAAATGCTTTTAAGTGTAGAGGAAGGATTGGGATCTTATTGACCCTCAGATTCCTCCATAAAGAGTACCTGTCACAGGTTTATTGCTGTCATGGGGATGTTTACACTCCTTGTGACAGCAATAAACGTGATTTTACAAAATTATAGCAACAGTGTAAAAATAAATAAAAATTAAAGTGCCTCCACCCCCTATGCTCGCTTGCAAAGGCGAGCGCACGCGTCAGTTCTGCACGCTCGCAAGAGTCGTCCCCCACATGTGAGCTATCACTGCGATCATGGACAGTAATTCTAGCACTAGACTTCCTCTATAAGTGCCTGTTCACATATATGCGGATTAGATGCGGTTTGAACTGCATGCAATCTGCATGACATGTGAAATAGCATTTCTTCCTATGGTGCCTATTCACATATATCTCATACACGGCCTGTTCTGAACCAGTGCTGTTTTAAAAAGAGTCCTGTTTGATTTCTAAGCAGTGCGGTCTGGTTCAGGTGTAGGTTACAGGCTATTGACTTCTAAGGGAACCATTTCTAAACCACATATGTGTGAACAAGATAAGATCCTGAGCTAATCCTGTTCTGAACCTGATGTGAACCTGTGAACAGCTACTGTATCGATAAGCTGTGAAACCTGAGCTTCAATCTGCAACGCATGTGTGAATCAGCTCTATATCCAAAGTGATAATCTATAAAAGGCTTTTAAGGCATTGACTATGGATAGTAAACTTTGTTGCACAGGCAGGTACAATTTTAAAGCGTGATATGTTTGGCATCTGTTTACTTGGCGTAACATCTTTCATGTTATGAAAAAAAAATTGGTCATTTACTGGTTTTTTTTTTTTCTCAAAATGCAAAAAAGTAAAAACATTTTTTCCCAAAAAATTGCGTTCGAAAAGCATCTATCTACCGAAGTGCGTACACCCCTCACATTTTTGTAAATATTTTATTCTATCTTTTCATGTGACAACACTGAAGAAATGACACTTTGCTACAATGTAAAGTAGTGAATGTACAGCTTGTATAACATGTAAATTTGTTGCCTTCAAAATAATTCAACACACAGCCATTAATGTCTAATCCGCTGGCAACAAAAGTGAGTACACCCCTAAGTGAAAATGTCCAAATTGGGCCCAAAGTGTCAATATTTTGTGTGGCCACCATTATTTTCCAGCACTGCCTTAACCCTCTTGGGCATGGAGTTCACCAGAGCTTCACAGGTTGTCACTGGAGTTCTCTTCCACTCCTCCATGATGACATCATGGAGCTGGTGGATGTCAGAGACCTTGCTCTCCTCTACCTTCCGTCTGAGGATGCCCCACAGATGCTCAATAGGGTTTAGGTCTGGAGACATGCTTGGCCAGTTCATCACCTTTACCCTCAGCTTCTTTAGCAAGGCAGTGGTCATCTTGGAGGTGTGTTTGGGGTCGTTATGTTGGAATACTGCCCTGCAGCCCAGTCTCCAAAGGGAGGGGATCATGCTCTGCTTCAGTATGTCATAGTACAAGTTGGCCTTCATGGTTCCCTTAAATGAACTGTAGCTCCCCAGTGCCAGCAGCCCTCATGCAGCCCTAGACTATGACACTCCCACCACCATGCTTGACTGTAGGCAAGACACACATGTCTTTGTACCCCTCACCTGGTTGCCGCCACACACGCTTAACACCATCTGAACCAAATCAGTTTATCTTGGTCTCATCAGACCACAGGATATGGTTCCAGTAATCCATGTCCTTAGTCTGCTTGTCTTCAGCAAACTGTCTGCGGGCTTTCTTGTGCATCATCTTTAGAAGAGGCTTCCTTCTGGATCGACAGCCCTGCAGACCAATTTAATGCAGTGTACGGCGTATGGTCTGAGCAGTGACAGGCTGACCCCTCACCCCTTCAACCTCTGCAGCAATGCTGGAAGCACTCATATGTCTATTTCACAAAGACAACCTCTGGATATGACGCTGAGCATGTGCATTCTACTTCTTTGGTCGACCATGGCAAAGCCTATTCTGAGTGGAACCTGTCCTGTTAAACCGCTGTATGGTCTTGTCTTGGCCACTGTTGTGCAGCTCAGTTTCAGGGTCTTGACAATCTTCTTATAGCCTAGGCAATCTTTATGTAGAGCAACAATTCTTTTTTTTCATATCCCCAGAGAGTTCTTTGCCGTGAGGTGCCATGTTGAACCAGTATGAGAGAGTATGTTAAACAAGCTGTACACTCACTACTTTATATTGTAGCAAAGTGTCATTTCTTCAGTGTTGTTACATGAAAAGATAGAATAAAATATTTACAAAAGTGTGTGTGTTTTAAGAAATTTTCTAGAAAAAAATATTGATTGTAACATGTAAACAAAAATAGCTTGTTCTTCAAGTGGTTATTGGATTAAAGAGAATTTACAGCTTGTTTTTAGGTTTCAATGACTTTCAGGTTCAGTGCTGTCAGATCCTGGTTGACTTTAGGGTGACTGGGCAAGTTGCAGACCAGGGGCTTTCTGTCCCAGATCTGCTTGAAGTGGGTATGGGTGGCATTGTGGGTCTAACAGGCTCATATCCTCTTTTTAAAGCAGGAAAATATTTACAAAATATTAAAATAAAAACATTTTAATGACCCCTTCCATGTTCACATACATAATATACACACACCTTGGGATGCACATGCAGATTACACCACACTAGGCTATCCCTGCACACACCAGAATGAGAGCAGTATATCATGCACCATCATTTAGGGTAACACTGGATTGATGTGCGGAAAAGCTTTAGTGTATCGCCTTAAAGACCAATTTGTTTTTTTGCTGCATGCAGTGTTTGGTAAATATTCAACACAGACATTTAACAATTGTGTAAAAAAAAAAAATAGGAATAATTGGTTTGGCAGCACAAGGTTTAAGATGTCAAAATGTAGTTTTATTTTTTTTATTAAACCTAGGAAGCTGATTTATTTAACAAATGTTTATTTTGAGTTTACGTGCCTTTTTGTTTTTTTTTTGTGTTTGTGGTGGGAAGGATTCGCTGTGTATACCACATGCTTAACTTTAATGGCACCATATTCAGGTAAAATAACACTATAGAACAGAGATGGGCAATTCATTTTCCAAGGGGACACATGAGAAACTTGGACTATTGTGGAGGGTTGAACTTAATTCTGCTCAATATTAATCTTGGACCTGGGAGGGTCCATGAAAAGAGATCTCTCAGATAGTTGGTGGGTGGTAAAACTGGGCGGCTGGGTACAAAATAAACAGCAGCATCTTATTTTCACTCCATTGTGAGCAGAGCATTGTTCTTTCAGAAAGCTTCTGTGTATGTTTTTAGGTAAAGATTTCATAGCTGTAGTTTTTCTTGGCCTCAGCCAAGTTATGTCTTGACCAGGAGTTATTTCTCCTGTGACCAGCATCTCTGTGGGAAAGTAATTTAGAACTGTACCCAATTTGCAGATTTGTTAGAAGCAATACACAAACCCAAATCGATGAGTGGGATAGGAGGTTTGACAAATACACCACAGGGATTTCCACGCAAAGGTAATTTAATTGCAGATCACTGGAGAAATCAAGAATACATCTTTGAATAGGAAGATCTGATTGTTTATAAATAAACACAGAGGCTGCCTTCTCTCATACTGCTATGCATGCTTATAAACCACAGTTGTTTAGATTTTGGTTGGATTATCAAGCAAAGAATATAGGAGCTGCCAATTGCACCTGTTTTTAAAAAGGGCCAAGCTCAAGGTGTGTCATACTTCCTTCATTATCTGGTGAGTCACTGACCCAGAACAAGCATTAGCAGGTGACATGACAACCGATAAGCTCACACTTGTTCCAGCTCAGTTATTTGCCACATAATGAAAGAATGATCAGAATAGTCGAAGACCATGTACCTTCCAAGAGCTAAGTGGCAATGGCAGCCTTTCTGTATGGACATGTACTGCAGTAAAATGGCAGGTAATCATCAAGTTTTTCCTGAAATTATAATATTTTGCTTGTAAAGCTCACAACACCCTTTGTTTGCCTTTACAGATGTTTAACTGCATTACTGAGCTAGTTCTCCGAGCAAAGAAAGAAAACTTGGCAAAGCAACAACAGCAGCAACAGAATGACGTGGTGAAATTAACCAAAAACAGTAAAAGGAAAAAGCGATGCTGCTAGGTGCAGGCACAGCACACAGAGGCTGCTCTTAATCCGAACATTCGTTCCTGGAATGAAGAGTAACTGTGCCATGGGCAGTGCCCAGCTTTCAGGGGTTGGGGCATTTTCTCAGTTCTGTGCTGTTAATTTAAGAATTTCTCAAGGTTTTCTATTGAAAGGCGCTGACACCTTTTTATTGCTGTGCCAACAAGGTGTTGTGGATCCTTGTCATCCCCTTGTCACCCCTGCTCTTCTGGAGCGTCTGCTAGGAAAGGACAGTTGCAGTGCCTACCCCTTGGACTGATTAACAAGAGTCTGTACATACTGTATATTGCGTTAACCAGCCTCGCCTCCCTCATTTTGCTTTGGCTTTCACCTTACGATTGCCAAACTGTCGTAATGCGCAAATATAAACTGATCACATTTTTAAAGATTTAGGACAGTTGGCATCTTTAACATTGCGCCTGGTGTCTGTCCTGCCTTCTAGGGTAAGAATCACTAGGCCTTGCTGTTATTTTGCTTCCCTGCTGTTTAGTTTTTTTGTTTTGTTTTTTTTTGTTTTTGTCAATATTTAAAACCATGCTAAAGAAAACCAAGCATCTATTACATTGACCAGAGCAGGACTTGCGACTACAAAGTAATTTTGTTTTTAATGAAAATCTGGATGGATCCTGAACTGTTAGCAGTTGTTTGTTACAATCTCTATCTCAAAAAAAAATATTGTGAATTTAACAAATTATGTGGGTAAAAAAACTCTGCCAATTTTTTGTACCATCTTCATAAATAGGATCGAAGTTAATAAAAAAAAAAAAAAAAAAAAGTGAAATATGGGTCCTGAATTTAAAAGAAAACAGGCAGTTGTCTTGTGATGTCAATGCATGAAATAGAAGGGTTTACTCTGGACTGGTTGTGTTCATATGGGCATTAAAGAACCAATAAACCCAGAATAGAAGTGATACTTTCCTAGAAAATCTTTTGACAGATTTCAGAAATATACACTTTAATGTTATTTTTGCCTAGAAGTGGATACATTCCAGAAGCTATATGTCCAACTTTCTGTGATCATTAACAGAGGGACACAGCAGGCCTATTCTGGCTTCATATATCTGCTACCTGTGGGGGTTAAGCACCAAACATTTTTAAGCTGCATCTTTTCATAATAGTAGCACAATTCTAGGCTGCAAGTTCTAACTTCAATCTCTTGAAAAGCTATGGTCACTGAAGAATCTTCATCATAAAACACTTCTGCCATGACTGATGCCAGGCCCCCATTATGGTTTGCTCTCTCTGGACCACTATGTCACCACAGGACCCATTAATAATGCAGGAGGAACCACAGCAGGGTACCAGGCATTGACATATGTAGAAGTATGATTGAAGTATCTTTAGGCGCTCTAGCTGTGGAACAAACATTAGAACTCATTGCCCACCAAAGAGGAATTCATATTTTTATTAAAAAAAGATATTAAGGCTAGCAAGTTACTTCATTAATTGATTGTAGGAACTGAAACTCTGACTATCTCTTGATTTGTGCATTCAGCTGTCAATCACTGGTTACACCTGCAGCAAAGGTGAGATAATAAACAGATATTGAAAATCTGTGAGGTTAGAAATCTAACAACTGCCTCTGTGACTAAGCATCTTGTGTGTGTGAAAGCAGTCTGGTTTCACATCTAGATGGCAACTGCTGTCCTATACCCCAAATCTTTAATATAGTCCATCTCAGTGAAACCACCTACTGTTTCAGTTGGACCTACAGTTGGTTGGACCCACCGCTGATTTGTAAGGGTGCAAGCTGTAGAGCTTTTCTGTTGTTCCGGGCTTCACTAGTTAATGAGTCACTAATGTGAAATATGCACCCAGGGAAGTGTACCCTTCTGTCAGTAACCTTTTCTGGTTAGTGACTCGCTTGGTAGTGAAACCAGGATGATATTTCCTGGAGGCTGCAGCTTTAGAGCCAACTCAGCAATGGCAGCTACCTTATGTCTGTTCTCACATGTTCCATTAAATTTTGTTCTGGAATTTCTCAGTCTGTGTCAGCGTAATTTTTAGGCAAAATGATTAAATGGATTGAATCTACTTTTGAATAACTGAATAAAATACAGATGTGTAGGGAAATGGCCATCTTTAGAATACCACATTTCTTTTGGATTGGCTCTGATATAGTGGCAAATTATTATATTTATCTGTGAATGACTGTGTATTTGCATATGTAGTTAAAAGGCAAGCTGCGTCCAAAACTTGGTGGTGGTCAGTAAGGGACTGAAAGTGTTACTAAACCCACAACAGTAAAATCAGTCTGTATATGCAGTAAAGCATGCTTGTTATACCCACTGTGAAGCCTAAGGGGTTAATCCTCCACATTATGTTAAAAAAAAAAAATGTATCCTCTCTTCTCTGATCTTCTACTGTCCCAATCCATCTGCTGAAGTACAGAGTACAGAGCTCTAGGAGTCACTCTGCACATGCTCAGTTTAGTGGGTATTGCTAGAGAGGGTTTTGTTTTTTTTCCTCCTTTGGGAGAATGCATGTGATCAGCACAGGGTCGATCAGCACTGTCCAGAGAGAGAGAGTGTCAGGGGTCATGCAGCCTCATAGGACAGTCAGAGCAGAATGAAAACTCCTACAAGCTTTAACCAGTGCTCAGCTGGACACTATTATTATTTCGATTAGAGTTACTTATATAGCAACGTCAGTTTACTGAACGCTTTACATATATATTGTACAATCACATCAGTCCCTGCCCTCAAGGGGTGTAAAATCTAAGGTTCCTAACCTACATTCATACATACACATACTAGGGCCAATTTAGACAGGAGGCAATGAATCTATCAGCATGTCTTTGGAGTGTTGGAGGAAACCGGAGTACCCAGAGGAAACCCATGTAAGTACAGGGAGAACATGCAAACACCAGGCAGGTGGTGCCATGGTTGGGATTCGAACCAATCCCAACTCTAGTACTGCCAGGCGGAAATGCTAACCATTTAGCCAGTGTGCTGAGAAGTCACAAGACTGCTGTATATTGCTGATGAGAAAAGGTATTTAGCTGTTTATATTTACTACAATATTTGTATTTCCATGTTGTGTGTACTGTGGGAGACCAGATATAGTGAATGCAGGGTCCTGGGTTTAGTAACACATTACATCTCTACCCACTTTGTACATGGCCATAAGCAATATGTCCTATCAAAGTTTGTCTCCACATTATTTGATCTACATCATGTCTGCAGATGGACAGAGCTTAGAGTTTCTTTTGATTTCCTACTGGAGCTCCCACAATCTACAAGAAACCAGCTTTGTAAATCCATGCAAAACTGAAAAGAAAAATAAACATTGTGGGTGCAGCTGGCCTTTTCCAGACCCTTGCAGAAAATGACATCAAAGGTAAGCACAAGAAACATGGAAAATCATAGAAATATTTTATTCCAGAATTTACAATAAAAAGCATAATTTGTACTAAAATATGACATTTTATATCTGTTTACGTTATAAAAAGAAAACTGTATGCAATATAAAAACTCTGCTTCTTCTATATACATAGAGCATTTCTCAATACTTGAGCTGTAAGGTAGGGTTAGGGGCAGTTCCTCTGCTGTGCTCTGTCTGGAAGACCAGAGGTAGGGAGTCTATTCCTTGGAATGAGAGCAGCTCAGGACCTGTCTACAACAGTTATACCTGCTAAATTCATTTTATCAAGGAAGCTGTGAAGTGAATACAAACGGATGGCTCTAAAAGAGCAAGGTGTTCTCTATGGATAAAATCCAGTGAACAAAGCGTTTTTCTACAAAATAGAAAACTCATCTAAAAGGAAAATAAAGTATGAATACTGCTTAGCCCCAAAGGCTAATACTTTTAGTGGTTATTACATACCAAGGAGGCTGCTTGCCTGGCTGTAAATTTTACTACGAATTTGCTCACTTAGATGGCTTTAGGGATCATCAATGGTGATACTTTTTAAATCCCCTCAGAATAAATTTACCCAAAACAAATGATTCGTAAAACATCAACTGTGATACAGTTGCAGTTAAGCTTTTGTTTTCTTTAGAAACGAAAAGAGGCTTCTCCCTTCAGAACCAATGGGCTCTTCTCCTGGCCGCTCTGTGCGATTCAGAGTGCTAACCTTGCCACAGTGCTTAACGTGGCGGCCCCTGGAGAAGGAATACACAGACTGGCTCCATTCCTTCTGGTGTTTGTCCATCAGTTGCTGGTCAATGACTCTGTGCATGTCATCCTGTTATAAAAGGAAAAAAGTTTGCAGTTAATGTGGTCATGTACTGACTGAATTCACACAAGTGAAAACTGGCAATTGCAAGACAAGGCAAATGGGATGTACCAAGAAATATGTTTTATGCACAGGCTAAATGAGCAATGCAGGAGTAGTGGGAGATGACTACAGCAGTAAAGAATTGGTTAGAACAACACGTGCCATAACTAAAGCACCCAAAATCTATTAATCTTTATCAAAGAAGACCGTGGATTCAGCATTAATTTACCTTCTGTTGATGCAGTGAGACTATACAACAGCCCCCACCACTACAAGGGATCTTTTTAGCAGCAGCTGCACATAATATGCAGCACTATCATATATGTTTGTTAGCCCTAGCATAATTCTGTGGCTGCAGTTAGAGCGTAAAACACTTGCCTGTGGTGTTCTTTTCCAGTGGTGCCTCAAGACCAAATGTGGCAGCTTAATCAGCACTTCCAGTAATGCCTGAATATCACGTGATACAACTTAAAGAATACTTCTTTGCAGGGCTTAACAAATCCCAGGCACCAGGTTAACATGGTGACTAGAAATTGCGTCCTGGGTTCACACACTGGCTCCCATTGACTTCAATGCAATATTGCGTCCCCTTTCGCCTTCAATGCAAAATGCCTCCCATTGACTTCAGTGCAAAAACTCCTGTCAATAGCAATCCTACGTGATCACTAATTTCCACCTGCCACTCTACTCTATCGCTTGCAGGTCTGGAACGCACTGCTACAAACTCGCACAGGACCCTTTTTGTAATGACACTAAAAACATAATGCACGGGGAACACATCTGTGTGAACCACCTCAATAGGAACACATATCTAGCCTGTCATGCGAATTTCTGAGTTTGAAATCGCATGTGTGAACGCGGGTGGCTCCATTCACATCTAGGCATTTTGGGATTGTGGGAGAATCGCTGCGATCACAAAACACAGGTTCAGGTGCCATTATTTTCAGAGGCACCTAAAATGTGGTGCGGCTTTGCCATGCCGCAAATTGCATCAAGTGAAGCCAAAGGTTGCCGTGCCCTGAGTGCTGACCATCCACACTACGTTAAAAAAAAAAAACAAAAAACCTGGCTCCTAGATTCAAAGCAAATTTTTCAAGCCTGCTCCAAAAATTTAAGACCAGCCACCTGCTATGTCCTGTGGACAGGCAGAGCGACATACCCATCATACCCCCCGCTTTTCATGAATGTGGATCCCGGTAAATGGGAACCAGTGGCCCTACATGATCAGAATGACAGTAAAGCTGTTGTGAATCAATCTGATTCATGACAGCGTTGCTTCCCTCCTAGTATTTTGAACTGTCATGAACTTAACCCATTCATGACCGCTCAAAGCAAGCGTTGCATTGCAGGAACAATAATCTTTATTGCTCCTGCAAAGCAAAGTGTAAAAAAAAAAAATCCCTGATCACCCCCAGAGTAGTACAATGTTACTACTGAACTACTCTGATGAAAGTATTTTTAAAAACAAAATGATAAACAATGTTAAAGTACATTGAGTTTTTTTTGTCTCCTTGCCAACTGCCCGCCCACAATATGCAGACGAGTGGCAGCTCTGAAAGCAATGTCCCCTTATGCTGCTTTCTATTTCCTGGTGTGAGCGCACATGCGTGTAGCCCCCATGAACATGACACTGAGTAAAAGCACTATATTTTACACAAGTTAGATCAGCACATTTAACCCTTTGATTGCCCCTATTAACCCTTTGATCACCCCATCACCCAGCCAGTGCCATTATTATAGTACCAGTATATAGAACTTTCACAGATCATTGTTATTACTGCCACTAGCGACATTAGATCGCATCTGGGTCAATTAACGCCCTTCCCAGCCAGGGTCAGCTAGCATTAGATTGCCCACACTATCGCACTCACACTATAGGTCGCTGATCACCGCCATTACTAGTATAGTGTTTGTACGGATCATTATATTGATCACGAACAGAACTATACTAGTGCCTCCTTTGTGTAGTGTCCCCAAAAATTCAGTGTTAGCAGGATCAGCCCTGTTTGCTGCCAGCACTAGTGTTTAGCCCCTTTGCTGTTTTTCACGGAAGAATCGATTGTGGTCCAAAGGAATTTATACGCACAACAATACATTGCCGCCCACCCAAATTCAGCTCTTGCCAGACAATTCGCATGGAAACCTACCACTTTTTCTAAATTTAAAACTTTTTTTGGGCCTAAACCTCAGCATGGGCATTACAAAAAAGAATGAATTGCGGTCATATTGGTCCACAGACCCGATTCATCATATGCCCATGTTCTCTGCTGTTACATATATGCCCAACAAGGACCAGCAATGTACTGGTACTTGGCTGGACTTTGGGTGGTTATACCAGGATGATGCCTGCAGCTACAGGCATCATCCTGGTATTGTTTCATGTAAAAGCAATCCTAGTGACTAATTAGCTGCTGGATGACTTAATAAGCTGTGGGAAAGGGGTTCAAAGTAATTTTCTAGCAAAAAAAACTTGTTATTACGTAAACAAAAAGTGTCAGAAAAGGCTTGGTCTTCATTTGGTTAGAACAGTGGGTGATGTGTGGCATAAGCTTATAATGTTTGGCCCTAAAATGCCAGGATAGTAGAAGCAACCCCCAAATGACTTTTCAGAAAGCAGACACTCCAATGTATTTGCTAAGGGGCACAGTGAGTATTTTGCAGATGTCATTTGTTGCAACAAGTTTTTGGAAAATGAAGAAAGAAAATGAAAAAATTTATTTTTTTCATTTCTTTTTAAAAACCCTGTAACAAAACATATCTGCAAAATACCATGCCTCTTATATACAGTTGTGTTCAAAATAATAGGATTTTGAGCTTTATTCACTTTTTTTCAACACACTGCTAAAAGCTTTTATTTCCATACACACAATTGCATTGGGAACACTACACATTCTATTCCAAATGAAAACATGAAGAAAAATATATCAAATTTGTGGTGTTCAAGAAAAATGAATATTAGACTGTTCAAAAAAATAGCAGTGTTTGTATTCTTCTTTATAAACTCAAACATTCACTATATAAACTGAAAAATGTTTGAATATTTTGCTTTCCTTTGACTCACTTAATTAATATTTAGTTGTATAAGCACTGTTTCTGAGAACTGCTGTACATCTGTGTTGCATGGAGTCAACCAACTTCTGGCACCTGTGAACAGGTATTCCAGCCCAGGATGATTGGACTACATTCCACAGTTCTTCTCTATTTCTTGGTTTTGCCTCAAACTGCATTTTTGATGTCACCCCACAAGTTTTCTATTGGATTAAGATCCTGGGATTGGGCTGGCCACTCCATAACGTCAATCTTGTTGGTCTGGAACCAAGATGTCGCATGTTTACTGGTGTGTTTGGGGTCGTTGTCTTGTTGGGACACCCATTTCAAGGGCATTTCCTCTTCAGCATAAGGCAGCATGACCTCTTCAAGTATTCTGATGTATTCAAACTGATCCATGATCCCTGGTATGCGATAAATAGGCCCAACACCGTAGTATGAGAAACATCCCCATATCATGATGCTTGCACAACCATGCTTCACTGTCTTCACAGTGTACTGTGGCTTGAATTCAGTGTTTGGGGGTCATCTGACAAACTCTCTCCGGCCACTAGACCCAAAAAGAACAATCTTACTTTCATCAGTCCACAAAATGTTGCGCCATTTCTCTTTAGGCCAGTCAATGTGCTCTTTGGCAAATTGTAACACCTTCAGCACGTCTTTTTTTCAACAGTGGGACTTTGTGGGGGCTTCTTGCAGATAGCTTGGCTTCACATAGGCGTCTTCGAATTGTAACAGTACTCACAGGTAACTTTAGACCTTCTTTGATCTTCCTGGAGCTGATTGTTGGCTGAGTCCTTGCCATTTTGGCTATTCTTCTATCCATTCGAATGGTAGTTTTTTGCTTTCTTCCACGTTTTGGTTGCCATTTTAAAGCATTTGCAATCATTTTAGCTGAGCAGCCTATCATTTTCTGCACTTCTTTATAGGTTTTCCCCTCTCTAATCAACTTTTTAATCCAGGTACGCTGTTCTTCTGAACAATGTCTGGAACGACCCATTTTCCTCAGAATTTCAGAGAGAAATGCACTGTAACCAGCATGTACAACATTTGCTGCCTTCCTTCCTTAAATAAGAGCAATAATTGCCACCTGTTTTTCAAAGAATGAATGACCTCACTAATAGAACTAATTATTTGTCATGTAGAAATATCATTTCTACCATAAACATTGATTGGGTTAGTGATGTCTGACTGCTATTATTTTGAACACAACTGTATATGAAACTCATTACATGCAAAGCAAGATAGTTCAAGCCGTGATTTGTCATAATTGTGATGATTATGGCTTACAGCTCATGAAAACCCCAAATCCACTATCTCAGAAAATTAGAATATTGTGAAAAGGTGCAATATGCTAGGCTCAAAGTGTCCCACTCTAATCAGCTAATTAAGCCATAACACCTGCAAAGGGTTCCTGAGCCTTTAAATGGTTTTTTTTCATGTTTTGATTTGGAATAGAATGTGTCGTGTTCCCAATGCATTTGTGTGTATGGAAATAAAAGCTATTAGAAGGATTTTGAGCTTTATTCACTTTTTTTCAACACACTGGTATTATTTTGAACACAACTGTATTAGTCTCACCTTTTAAGTTGCATTACTAAAATAAATGAACTTTTGCACGATATTCTAATTTTTTTGAGTTTCACGTGTGTGTGTGTGAGAAAAGACAAACCTTTGTTGAGGTACAGTGTTGCATGACCGTGCAATTGCCAGTTGAAATAGCGCTGTGCTGAATAGCAAAAAAAATGGCCTGGTTGGGAAAGGGGGTAAATCTTTGGGAGCTGAAGTGGGTTTTTTTTGGAGCAACAGCGAGACCTACCACTATCAGAAGTATGAAAATATCAATACTGTTACTTTACAAAAAAAGTGATTAGGTACTACCTTTCAGTAATTACGTTTGCACATACTATATAATAATA